GTTGAACAGTGCGGGCCCGAGGACCGAGCCCTGGCGGACCCCACTGCCCACATCCCTCCAGGTTGAAAATGACCCATCCACCACCACTCTCTGGGTGCGGCCCTCCAGCCAGTTGGCGACCCAGTTGACTGTGTGGGTGTCGACACCACAGCCCCCCAGTTTCTTAATGAGAATGGGGGTGGATACAGTTATTTATCCACTGTACGGTGCTTTCACCTGGTCTGTATTTCCTTAGCTTACTAATGAGGATGCCATGGAAAACCGTGTCAAAAGCCTTGCTAAAGTCAAGGTATATCACATCCTCTGCTCTTCCACCTGCCACAGAATCTGTAACTTTGCTGTGACTTGCTCTTGCTGAGTCCATGCTGGTTGTTCCCAATCACCGTGTTCTCCTCTAAGTGCTTCACCATAGACTCCTTAACTAGTCTGTAATTCCCCAGATCCTTCTTTTCCTTTTCTTAAAAGACAGGTACTTCATTTGCCCTTTTCTAGTCATCTTGGACCTCACTTAACCTCCATGAGTTCTCAGGGAGGATAGCCAATGGCTCTGAAATTACCTCAGCCAATTCCTTCAGTACCCTTGGGCGCACCCCCTCTGGCTCTTCCAACCTGAAAGCCTCCAGCTTCTCTGCATCATCTCTTACCTGGTCTTCCTCTGGTCTAGACTGCTCATCCTTCTGGCTCCCAACTCTGCTCATCATCTCCTTGCTGACATTTTTCATGAAGACTGAAGTTAAAAAACGCAATAAATACTTCAGACTTCTCTGCTTCACCCCCTGTTTAATTACTCTGAGCATTCAGGAAGGGACCTGCACAATCTTTGGTTTTCCTCTTAGTCCTGACATCCTTGCAGAGTACTTTTTTGTCGTCCCTTGCTAGCTGCATCTCAGTTCATATATTTTTCCCCGCAGCACTGAGGATGCTGATGGATTATCTGCTCAACTCTTCTTCTGCCACTGTAAGCGGGTCATGGATCCAACACAGCCATGCAGAAGGACTCCTATGGAGCAGCCACTGAGCACACTCAACATCCACAAGTATCTCAAGCTGATGGAGGCACCTATTGTGGTACAATTTGCCATGAGCTGTATCTCACTGAAGTCCTTTGGGCAGGGCTGAGGGCATGGAGGGTGGGTAGCCTACAGCTGTGTTACAGACAGGATCAGGAGTGAAAGTCCAACCTCAGTAAAATCAATGGCAAAACTTCCATTTATTTCAATGGGTCCATGACATCATAGAAAAGTAGGGCTGAAAGGGACCTCCAGACATCGTCTAGTCTAACCTCCTGCTGGAAGCAGGATCACCTCTGTCCAAACAACATATTGGTAAAACTGCCCCGTCAACCCTGACACAATCACAAGACATAACTCCCAAACCTGACACGGGTAAAGCAGGGGGACCATGGTGGCCAATGTCCTGCTGCTGCAAAGTTTGTTAAAATATACTTGAGATCCCAGGAAGAGGGAAACAACTCCCAGAACAGAAGAAGGCAACCCCCCCACCTGCTCCAGGTCATGCCAATATGACCATGGGGTAAAATTCCTTCCTGACCCTAAATATGGCAATCAGTCTGATCCTGAGCAGAGGGGCAAGATCTTTTAGCCAAAAACCTTTGGCTTTGGTCCCAGCAGGAGCATTGCCATGGCTCTGTCAGGGCTGCATCCAACAGCCAGTGTTTCTGAGGGAGTTGATCCATGGATCCAAGTATCAGCAGGAGGGAAAAAAATCCTTCCCAGACTCATGCAGCAGTCAGCAAAGTCTAGAGGAAATACCCATAGTAGGACATTGGCATTGCTATGCCTAGATCATCCCTGACCAGTGCTTATCCATCCTCTTCTCGAACACCTCCAGTGATGGAGATTCCACAACTTCCCTAGGCAGACTTCCTCACCAGCCTCAGGGTGCAGACACAATGCAAGAGTGAGGGGGAAATTTTTCCTGAATTTTACTCTAATGTAAGAGTGGACACATGACCAGCTCTCCTAAGCTGCTTGCCTGCTGTAGGCAGCATTGCAGTGCCCAGCCACCAGGAGACAACAGAGCTGGTTTACACCGGGCGAAGGACTACCCGAGATGAAGCTGGCTACTGGGGGCAGGCACATGTTCTGGTCCACAGAGCCCCGTTCTCACCTAGTAAAGATACTCTGCATTTCTTGAGGGGTAACTCTGCCTAGGTCAGAGTGGCTTACTATGCAGCAGGCCTGCACATTGTGTGACCACTCCACTTCCACTTCCACTGTGTAGCTGATCTTGTTGGGCCCCAGGCAGTTTACATCTGCAAAGGAATTCCCCTTTAACAGGGGTTTGGCTCAGCCCAGCTGCAGCTTTAGCCCAGGGGAGGGAATTTAAACGGGGGAGAATGGGTCACAATGAAACGGGAACATCGCTGTTGGGGCATGCAACATAATGGGAATGGGAAGGGAAGGCAACCCAGGGCATATTGCATGTTATAAGAGGTTCAGTGCTGCCTGCAGGATTTGGGTGCTGGCTTCTGGTTCAAATGAATGGGAGTGGGAGCCACATGTGCTAGGTCACAGGCAGCAAGGACAATAAGGCACAGAGGTTTTTGACAGGGAGACAGTTACCCTTTGGAACAATTTGCCTGGGCTCATGGTGGGTTTTTCATCCCTGGGAGCTTTTCAATCCCACCCAGCTGTGTTTCTAACAAAGAGGTTTCCGTCTGACCACAGTGATGGGATTTGAAACAGGAATTCATTCAGGGAGATGCTGCTGCCTGGGTTATGCAAGGAGTCACTGCAGATGATTGTGATGTTTCTTTTTGGCTTTAAAACCTCAGATTGTATTAACTTCTAAAATCTCAGCAGTCCAGTGGACAGGAGGCTCTTCCATTCCGGTTTCACCCCCAATGGGCAGGCAAAGAGGACAGTGATCCGAGTTCTGCTTTTTGGGTGATTGGATATGGTTGTTGTAGGAGGACCGTGGATACTATCTGATAACCTAGTTAATGTAAGGGATTGAAAGTCCCCTAAGCATCCTCATTCATGCATGCTGGGAAGGCGTCTGACCGCGTGACTCACTCTCCTCCAGACTGAAGTTGCTGCGGATCCTGAGAAGGTTTCAACAGTTCACTTGCAGCTTGGCCTACCCCTGGTGTTCATCCTCAGTCAGAAAGAGACCTATGAGGCTGACCGCAGAACTGCAGAATTTGTTGCATGGCAGCTGCTGGGGAGAGCGGGCGTTGCGCTTTTGGCAAGGTATGTTGGCTCAGACATGTTTCTGGTCTCCTGAGACGTGCGTGTAGCTGGGACACTGTTTGTAGAACTTGTGAGCTGGGGCTGGATTCTGTTACATCGAAGTCAGCTCAGTATCATGCTCTCACAGTCAGGGCAGCATTAGAGTGATGGTATAGCTGTGATGGTCCCGGGCAGTGGTGCTCTACTTTTTTTGCAGGGTGGGCCAAATGAGCAGTGCCTGGTTCATCTGCTGTCCGGATCTGGCTGGTGGACTCATTCTGGCACCTGGGGTGGGTGCAGCAGGGGTAAGAGGGCTTGGCCTGGTTCCACCCTGGCTCTGTGAGGAGGGGAGGGCATGACCTATCTCTGATCCAGCTGCACAGGGGGAAGGCAGCATGACCCGGCCCTGATCTGAGTCAGAGGAACTGCATGGTCATGCAGAAGGCCTGGCAGGGAGAGCCCTTAGACCCAGTTGGTTGGGGAGAGAGCTCAGACTAAGGTTTGTTTTGTTCTTCAGTGAAGACTAAATAACCCCCAGAAGGGGCTGGGAGTTGTGACCACACGGGTTTGTGCTGGGTAGGGCCCCTAGGTCCCATAGGTCTCTATCGATCGTACTCTTATCAGGGCACTGGATGGCAGCTGTGCCCTGTGGGACCTGCCTGGGGCCCATGGGCTTGTCTAGACCTCACCCTGGGAAGGTGTGGGCCAACCTGGCCCTGCCCACGCCCTGCCCATCCGTACCTGCCAATACACTCTGGAGCTGAAGCTGGCCTCTGAGATTGCTCTGGACTGTGTCTGGTGCATGCTCTGAGACCTGGGTGCTGGGACCAGCCTGGAGCAGCCTCCTTGGAGTCACTTTGCATGAGGGAAAGAGAGAGGCTACCCCTACACTGAGGCCCTACCCCAGCTCAGCCTTCCTGCTCCACTCTAATGCTTGGAGATGCCACCCCAGGGGCTCTGGCTGTCTCTGCAGGGGTTGGCAAGTGACATTGTGGGCACAGCCGTGCTGGGAGCAGGGTTTCCTGAGCTGTCCTGCCATCCTGAGCAGGTGAAGCCTTAGGCTGTGGCAGGAGCTTTGGAGAACCTTGTTCCTTAGTGAGGCCCGGTTTGCCCTCAGAAGCTTTTCTGCTCCACTGCACTGGATCAGGGCTGGGACTGAGCACCCTCTATGCCGTGTGGGCACCTTCCCTACCAATGCTGCCTGGGTGCCAGGACTGCCACCTTCTCATGTGGGCCTGGGCACTGACACTGGTGGTTGGTGCCTGGGGGAAGCTCTGAACTCCAGCCCCTCTGTCCCAGGAGGCTGGCAGCAAAGCTCCTTGTGGGACTGAGTGGGACCAACTGGACTGGTTCTCTGCCAGCACAATGGCCTCCTGCCCTAGGGTAACCTGGCATGTGAGACAAAAGCCTCAAGCAGGCCAGGCTGGGCCCTGGGTATGGGGAAAGGCAAAGGTCGGGGGGGATATGCTCATTGCTGACGTCACTTCATAGTGACTGGCCAGGAAGGTGCTGGGGCCTTGATCCCACACCATCCTCATTCAGGGGAGCTTTGCCAAGTGCTGAGTGAATCCCTCAGCTCCTACACATCTCCACAGGGTGCCCTGCTGCCAGTGGCACAGCACAGCCTGCCAGGCAGAGGGGAGGCCACTGCTTTGTGCATAACATGACATGTTTGTATCTCCAAAGGGACTCCTTGGGTCTGAATGTCCTTCTCCAGTCTAACGTTGCTCTGAAGACAGCAGAGGAGGTGGGTCCTTGTATTTATGTAGCATGTCTCTGAACACAGCAAACATAGCAAGGGATTTTTCACAGAGGTTTCCCTTGCTGTTGTTTAACAGTTTCCCCTGAAGGCTTAAAAGGGGGGCGTTGTTTTTTGTTTGTTTTTGTAAGTGCACAGGTGGGTCATGGCACAGCTGCCCAGGCCTGCTGCCCCCAAGATCTCATGAGTCAAGAGAAAGCAAGCATTTATTTGGGGAGCTAGGCATCTAAGTGTCAATGAAGTACCCAGTGCAGAGAGCTGGCACCTGGTCCCATAGAAATCTCCAAGGATCTGGATTTTAAAACAGGCCTTTAACAAAGTCCCTTAGAAGCATCTAGTTAAGAAACCAAATCATGGTGGGGTGAGAGGCAGCCAGTGATGTCCAAAACTAATGAAGAGATGGAAAGCAAAGAGTCAGGCTGTGTCCATGTCAGCCGGCAGCTCTAGCATTACTTATTCTAGCTCTTAATGTCCTGGAAAAGGACTGGCACAAAATGAGTTTGGCTGGCCAGGGCACGATGAGAGTGTAGGGAACAGCAGAAGGACCCGACCCAGCTTGCGCCGATGGATGTAGCATAGTGTCAACCGCTGCAAGGTAATGACTGGTGTTGCTTCCAAGGCAGGCAGGACTAGATGGGAATCTCCCTTCCCCATGAGGAGTGCCACTTGGCTGGTGAGTGACATGCACATGCTCCGTTCATGCCCTCTGAGCCAGTGGGATGAACTGCTGGGGTTTTTCCACTTTATTTTTTTCCACAGCACAATTTATTAAAAATGAATATTCTCTCAGAATCTGTTTTGCTCTGTCTGTGAACCAGCAGGTCCCATTGTATCCAGCAGGCTAAAGCAGCCTTCTTGTGTTACAAGTGCAAGGTCACATAAAGAAGGGAAAGCCAATGCAACAAGGGGAAAGTGAGAATAGAAATCAATGGAGTTGCCCTCTTGGTTTCATTCAGTGATAATCTGGCTTCAGCCCAGATTCTTTCCTTTAGCAGAGATTTGTGTTTTCCCCAGGAAGATCATTTGTGACAGGCTCCCAGGTGGAGATGAAATGTTCAGCTTTGTTTGGCAGAAAGCAGAGAAAATGTCTTGTGCCTCATTTCTCCATCTGTCAAATGGGAAGGATACTTTCCTGTCACACAGGTCTTTGTTGTGAGGTTAACAACCATTAATACCATGATATAGTGATCATGGTCAGAGAAGGTATATCTACACTGCTATTTAGGGTTGACCTGAAGCATCACTGTCATAGGCTATATGAGCCACCCTTTCTTGTCTATGTTACCTTGCTCTGGCTACATGAGAGCACAAAAGGAGAGACAAGTAGGGGCAGATTGGTGCCTAGAAGGGCTCCATTCAAGGAACAGGCCAAGCTGAATGGAGCTCTTCTAGGCATCAGTCTGCACACTACAGGCATTTACACACATGCTTCAGGAGTGTGTGGGGGACGCTTTAGTTAGAGCAGCTCTTGGAGCACCTGAAGCGTCTCATGTATCAGCACCCCTGTGCTGAAAAATGGTGGCGGTGGCAGCGGCGCTTTAACTAAAGCTTGTCAAATGAGCATGGTAATTACCGTGCTCCAGCAGACTCCAGGGTCTCGTGCATTAGTGTCCCTGCTGCCATTTTTCAGCATGGGGATGCTAATGCACAAGACACTGGAGTTTGCTGAAGAGCAGTAATTACCATGCTTCAGCAGACTTGATTAACCAAGTCTGCTCTGATGCACTTTAATTACAGCGTGTCGGAGCCGCTTTGCTGCATGTGTATAGGCACCCTATATGTCTTAGCTCTGGATTCAGGAGCATTTATCAGTTCCAGAAAAGGGGCCATATGGTCCCTTTGATTTTGGAACAGGAAACCCTTGTAGCTCTGTCTAATTTGTAGTGAGTCCGGCTGTTCCCAGGCACAGTCAAAAGCAAATATGTTGTCACAGCTGATGCTCTGCTTTTCCCCCAGGGTGTGCCCATCAAGTACCTGGTTTTGGAGGATACCGATGAAATTATTGCCCTCGTGGAAAATAAGCTGAAACAATTCCAGGAGTACGAGGAGGAAGAAGACGAGGAAGAAAAAGAGAATAGTGATAAAGGTAGCGCTGGTGTTTGGGATTCTTTGCATATGTAGCCATGTGCTGATTGATTGTGAAGGCTATGGATAGATGGACACATGCCCTTGTGTAAATGACTTTGGTTTTGTATGCTGCTATAAATGACAGGACGTTCAGGAACAGGCAGACATACAGCTGTCCTGAGGTTGCCCACACAAGCAGACAGCTATTACTCTGCCTTGCTGCTGGATGACCTGCAAGCCCGCTTGCTTCTAGCAAATGGATGTCCCACACAGAAGTGGATAGATGAAACATAAATCAGTGTAATTTACCCCAGTAGTGTCTTACTTCTGAATCTTCCAGGAGTAATTCTCCACTAAATTGGGCAAAGTTGCCACAGCTCAGTGAGTTGTCATCCATCTGCTATTTACGGTGATAAGGCTAGAAGAAATGTCTTCTTTTTACATCCTAAGAAGAGTTAACCTGTGAAACGAGGGGCTTAAATTATTAGGTGTCCAACTTGAAGCATCTTAGAGGGGCCTGATTTTTTGGAAGCTGGGTGCCCAGCACAAGCTGAAATTATCCCCCTTTGGGACACTGCAAATCAGGACTCTGAAATAAACCACGAGTCTCTTGGACAGTGTGGGCTGCTGTCTCTTTGAGAGCCCATTTGAGCTCTGCATTCAAATTCCACTTTTCTTGGCCAGGGGGCCCAGAGGCACATGTTCACCTGGTCTGTGCTTTAAAAATCACTTGTTTTCTGGAAAAAAAAAACTGTCTCTGTTTCCAATCCTTTTATGTAAATTCTCAGGGAAACCAAGAGCCCACGTAAGACAAGAAGTTGTCCAAGACAAACAAAAATGCAGTGTGTATCCTAGAAAAAGGGTATTCTTTTCTCTGTAGCGCACATCCTTCCCTGGTGTAAATTGGCCTAATCCCAGTCACTTCAGTGGAGCACTAAGTTTCTAATGAGTGCATGTGTCTACATGAGACGTTTACTGTGCAGTAGACTAATTAGCTGAACAGTAAACATCTCCACACCAACATGTGCACCGCTATTAGGCTAGAGTAAAATAATTAGCTCTGCAGCAAAGTAGTACTTGTACAAGTACTATCCAAGTACTATCTTGCTGTGGAGTTTTTTACTCTGCAGCAGCACACGTGTAGATGCTGCCCCAGCTGGCTAGGACATGAGGGTGCTTCAGCGCAAGGGCTGCCTGCCAGCTAGACCCATACTGCAGTATCCTTGTGACCCAGCCAGCCCCTCCACAGCACACTGACATTGGGGGAACGGCTCCAGGCTGGAAGGCTAAACCCCTGGACTTCCTGACATCCAGGGCTGCTCCAGCCTGGCTCAGCATGCTGTGCATAAGTGAACTCCAGAGCTTATTGTTCTGGAGTTGCTCCTGGGCACACATTCAAACAGTGTGCCTGGGAGTAATAAACTCCAGAGCAACAAGCATTGGAGTTTTATTTGTATACATAAATTGCATGTGTAGATGTGTCTGATGAGTAGCAAATGATATAGGAGGAAGTAACAGCTGCTGCTTCATGTCCTGATTGGAACTGGTGCTCTGCTGCATTTTGGCCCTCTCCTTGTAGCCATCTTTTGCAAGCTTTTTGTGGCAACAACTCTTTTCCTAATAGGTATGTACAGCACCTAGTGCCATAGGACATAATAATAACCTAGTGCCACATAGCTCCACAAGGCATAATAATACCGCCCCCCATATCTGTCTTTTCCTTGCGCTCAAATGCTTGGAAACAGTGAATTCCAGCATCATTTGTGCATTCATCTACTGCTGCTGAATTACAGATGTGCAAGATGACCAGGTGGTAGAGGCCATTCACAGAGACCGGAAGAGAGAACTCCCTTTAGACCTCATCCGAACCCTGACGGAGGAGACGTTTCACCCGGCCCTGACCGAGACTGGCCACACAGCGGTGCTGTTCTATGCCAGCTGTGAGTACAGGCACCTAAACATCAGTCGTATTTTGCTGTCTCTGTTTTGATGAGCCTTGATTTTTATTCTGATTTAAGCTGTTAAAATGATCTCTCTCCAAGACCTTGGGTACCCTCCCAGACCTAAGCAATGCGATTCGATTGACAGTTGTAGTTGATTCATCCTGATTAGACTCTATCTAGGGGCAGTGAAACCTTCAGAAATGAAATATTTTGAGCTTCTGTAGTGCAAAATAAATGCAGTGGTGCTCTACTGTCTCCAGGGTGTGCCTCATTCCAGGATAATTCTCTGTGGCCGCATCTACACGAGTCGCTTATTGTGCAGTAGCTTGTTACTACTGCACGGTAGCGTCACAGGGCATGAACCATGACGCAACGCTACTGCACAGTTGTAACAAACTAGCGCACAGTCAGCATCACCAGGAGGCTGTGCAAGGATGCCACTCCACAGTTACACTGGTTACTGCACAGTCATTTAGTACGTGGGTATGCAAGTACTAAATGACAGCACAGTAACAATGTAGACGTGGCCTGTTTTCTGTGGAAGATGGCCCTTGCAGTATCTAGCGTTCTTGATGTCTTGCAGCCTCAGAATACTGTCGTGGTTCCTCAGATGATCCTAAAGCTGGAAGCAGTAAGAGATGCAGGAGAAGCATGGTCATAATTCAGACCTGCCCCCCCTACTGACAGTGCCTGACACCTCGGTAGCAGAGGTGCCATCAGTAATGCACTGGCACCGCTACTGACCAGGCCTTTTTTGTCTGTTTTAGGGGAAGCCGTGTCTCTAGCAACGCTGCAGTCCTATGTGGAGGTGGCCATGGAACTGAAAGGTAAGACTAATGTTCTTCAGCGCTGCTATGGACCACATGGTGCTTAGGCCCTATATCCTGTCCTCCTGCAGGAGGGAAGCTGGAATGGGCATTTGTGCAGGGGTGAAATCCTGGCCAAGGTTAATTGATTTCACTGGAATCAGAATTTCCTCCATTTAATACACTGCCCTCCCCCTTGCAGGCTGCTCTACCTTCTCTAGGCTTGGCACAGCCCATTATGGACCATTACACAGAGACCCAGGTCCCTCCCAGACCCCTGCCTTCTGCTCTTACGCTCCTGGAGAGTAGATCTGGGGGGAAATGGGATTGAGACAGGCTAGAGTTAAGGAAAATTAAAGCACCTTTTCCCCATCCCAGCCCTGTTGGGAGACTTTGTGGAACTGAAGATTGCATCTGTCAAGTCAAAATCTGTTCCAGTCGTGCTGCTGTGTGTCCATGGCTCCATCACCTTCAGCAGCACCGTTGGGGATGACACCCTTGTAACTGAGAGCACAATAACATGGGAAAGGCCAGTTTGAGCCCTCCACCGCAGGGCCTGGCACTACATGGGCAGAAGAGCCAAGCTTTGTCAAGCATGGAGCCTTGCTCTTGCTTATTGTCTGTCTGATGGAAGCCACGAGGAGCCCTGCTGAAAGCTGCATGCCCCACATCTCCAGGACAAGGAGGCCACCAGTGCACAATGCCCAACAATGCAGTTGTGTGTTACAAAGTGTGAGCAACACCTTTCAGCAAATGCTGCGTACCAAAGCCACAGCACGTGATTAAGCGCCTATGAGTGCTAGCCAGCTACGGCTCAAAAGAACAGCTCTTTCTGCCTGTACAAAGGGGCCAATGGCTGGAGGCGAATTAGCATCAGGCAGACGAGTGATCTGCCATAGCAGGCTGTGGCACCACAAAAGGTTCGAATGGACAGGGCCCTCAGGGAATGAGCATGCTCTTGTGCTGTTCAGCAGAGTTGCATAAGCAACACACAGCAGTGGCTGAGGGTTATTCTTGTAGACAAAGCTCCTGCTTCATCAGGGGATCTCTTAATAGATAGAGGCAGATGGTATTTGTCCTTGGGGAGAGCACTGTGCCTTCTTCCAAAGCAGTAGTTTTCAACCTTTTTTGTACCAGGATCCATTTTTAAACACTGATGGCCAGTCCTGGCCAAGTGTCTCTCACTCCTGACCCACAGCCCCACACCCCTAGGCCCTAGCCACCCAGTGTGTGGGGCAGGGTCTGGGGCACAGGAGACCCCAAGCAGCCCCTTGCAGGCTAGAACTCTGCTAGCCTGCAAGGGAAAAGCCACCGTTTCCCATTTTTTCCTTTAAAGGAGAATGCATTTTAAAGTTTGTTGGCCCATTTTTAAAGTTTGTTCGTGACCCTCTCATATATTTTTGGGACCCACGGGTTTAGAAACGCTGTTCTAAAGCACCTGCCCATGGTTGTTCTTTGTATGTCCTCTGCCTCTTGCTCTTCAAGCCCATTTCCACACTTGGCAAGGCTGCCGGGCCTTGACTGGGCTTTCTTGCTTCTGTCACCTTGTCCTCATGTTGTCCAGCATCCTGGATGTGGACGTCATCACAAGCTCCACCAGCAGCGGTGACCTGCTCTGCCACGGGGCAGAGATGTTCCTGTAAGAAGCAGGGTAGGCCAGGAGCCCAGAGTGGGAATTCAAGAGGTGTCCACACAACGATGGGTTTGGTATTTTCTGGGGTTTCCATACTCTGAAGGGAATGGGTCTGGGTGCTTTGCTGATCGTTGTTTTCTGTGTGGAAGGAGAATCCTAGAAACAAACAGGGAAACCTTCAAGGACTGTTGTCACCAGAATAACCATGCTGTTTTGGCTCACCTGGACTAATTGAGAACTTCCTCCCTGGCTCTTCAGATCCTGACGCTGTCCTACTCATTCCTGTGTGAGCTTACAGGTGCTGCTATGGCAGCCCTGGCCCCTCGAGCCCAGGGGCAAAGTCTTGTCCAGAGTGAAGTCTAAGGCAAAGCTCCCAGCGAGCTCCAACTGCATGTCTGCCACCTCACCAAGGGCAGCCTGATGAGGAAATATGGAAACCCCCTCTGCCTCCCAAGTTAGCCTGAGCTACTTGGGCCTGATATCTCATCCTTGGCATCACAGAGTGGGTCCTGTCCTGTCAGGCAGAATGCAAAGCAAGGGAAGGCAGTGGTGTAGCTGAGGAGAAATGGCATCCGGATGAGAGGGCTGCCGTTGGATCCCGAATGGGTAGAACTGATGGGGCTGTAGCAGCAATCCCAAACAGCAAACTCCTGAGCACAGTGAAGAGGGGTGAGCCAGGGTTCCTGGGTCACTTCTGTGCTACAAGTATCAGCCCATTATTTGCCTGTTGTCTCCCCCAGTGCCCTTGTCCTTAGGCTTGTGCAAGCAGGAATCTGTACCTTTGGAGCAGTCCAACAGGATGGAGTATGTGCTGGGGAGCAGGGACACTGCTACGTCCATGAATAGATCTCCTGACTGAGTGAGGTGGATCGCAGCAGTGCACACCACTGAATATCCTGCAAGTTCAAGGAACAGGGCGGCATGTTTCTCTAAACAGAGGTTCACAAGGGTCACGGGTAAAGTGTCTCCAGCAGGGCATGGACATAAATTACCATGTAGGAGGACTGGATCAGGTACAGTCCAGGCCACAACAGTAGGCATTGGAGGGTTGGAAGGAAGCAGATGGAGATCTGGATCCCAGTGGCACCTGCCACATCTCTGGGCAAGGCAGTGCCAGGGGTAGGTAATGGCATGTGTGCTGCAAGGTCCTTCTGTCTCTTGGGAGACCTTGGGCGGTGGAGGAGATCAGAGACCAGCATCTTCATCCTGGGATAAGTGCAGGAGCCAGCGGTTGTCAGAAAGAGCCAAATAGTCCCTGTGGCATTGTTGACCTGCAGACGATCCTGGCAGTCCTGTAGGCATGCATGTGCTTGTGGCAGTAATATCCCACATTAATGCCAGGCCAGGTCTGGAAAGAGAGCCAGGAAAAGCAGGAGGTGAGATCCATGCCCTGCTTCCATCTCGCCTCCCCGCACTGCAGACCAGCTCTGAGACTATTAGGACCGGCTCCCTTTATTCCAGGATAGAAGAGCCCACCCAGAGGCTGTGCTAGGTGGAAGTGGCTGTGCAGGAAGGGTGCTGAGTTCTGACTGCTGTTTTCATCTTTGGGTGCTATCCTCTGGGGAGCTGAGTGCCTTTTGAAAAGAGCTGAGGCTTCCTTGATGAAGGTCAAGGTTACTTCATCACAGACTGTTTTATTGTTCCCTTGTGCTTCCCTTACTGGTTGCTGGGTCCACTTTGGGAGTAGCCTTGTGGTGAAACTAGCTGTTTGGGGCAGAGACTGGCTCTAGCTGCCGCTCCAAGACGCATCATTGAGAATATGGTGCAGGTCAGGATGCCAAGACATTTTCCCCCTGGGGAGGGCATTAGTGAAGGTCACCAGAATTTTCCTTTCATAATGTGATACCTACTGATAAATAGTGATGGCTTATACAATCAGTAGCTATTCCATGAATGGTTGTATCCATACATCAGAGTTCTTGGAATAAGGTGCCCTGGGGATCCATTTTCATAAGATCCCACATCCTCATGCTCATCCCCCTCTTTTGCCTCCAGCTTGGGGAAAGATTTGAGATGACTTTGTGGTGGGAGATGAGAAGCAGAAGACGTGCCTGATTAGATGTGCTAAGTAAAACAGCTGCCTGGTGTTGATTTAGGGCCATGTTTATGCATCTCATGTTTCAGATGATGATACAAACCTCTTGTGCTTTGCTGCTGCGTTTGGACATCATATTCCACGAAGACGGGAAGTATGCTCGGGGCTGACCGGGTTGTTTGGCTGTACCAACGCTTGATAGAGTGCAGAACACGCAATAAATTCCCTTGAGTGTAAAACAGCTGCAAAACAACCTAAATGAGCGGTAAAGTGAGTTGCCTAGTGAAGCCATAGAGGAACTAGAAGTCTAGTTCTCTGGCAGGATTGTGTACCCTGAGGGCATCCTTGACAGATGTTCTTGTTAGGAACAAGATAACTTGTTCTTAAAAACCCTCGTCATTAGAAAGCCTTTTCCCTAATACTTTATGCAAAACTTCTTTGCTGCCAGTTGAACCAGCTCCCACTGGAGATGGAAGAACATGATGTCTGTCCTCTCTTTAAGACCCATTTATGCACTGGAAAGCTTTTATCATGTCTCCCCTCAGTTTTTTCTGTTCCAAACAGAAGCTTATTCTCCTTCTTACTGTTCTTGTTGCTCTCCTCTGAATTCTTTCCAGTTTGTCTGCATCGTTCTCAAAGTCTATTGCCCAAAACTGAGTACAGCATTCCTGCTGGGACTTCACCAGTGCTGAGTAAAGGAAACTTCTCACCTCCCTGTCTTGTATACAAGCTTCCCATTAATGCATCCCAGAATGCCATGTCCATTTTTCCAGCAGCATTGCATGTTTTACACCTATTCTGTGGGCTCCTGGAATCCATAGACCCTGTTCTTCTGTGCCACTGCCTACCCTGTTATCCCCTATTTTGCATCCGTGTGCTCAAGGTTTCCTTCTAAGTGTCACACTGTGCACTTGTCTTCTTTGGATTTCATCCTGTTGATTTTTTTGAACTGTTCCTTCCATTTATCACAATCATTCTGAAAGCAGGGCCTGTCCTTCCTTCAGTGCCTTCGCTACCCTTCTTAACTTGGTGTCATAAATAAACAGTGTTTTCTTGCATAGGGCTCACCTTGACAGGCTCAGGAAATGGACAGATGAGAACCTGATGGCATTTAACACCAAAAAATGCAAGGTTCTCCACCTTGGGAGGGAAAACCTGCAGCATGTCTTTAGGCTCGGCAGTGCTACTCTGGTTAGCACTACAGACAAGAGGGACCAAAGACTGCGGTGCTGGTGTCATTAGGAAGGCTT